TTTTTTTTACAGTTACAAAAAAATGTAACAGCAGTTACAGCTGCGGAGACTTGGGTTCCACCCCATTGCTTTGCCAGTACGACTGTGTGACTTTGGAGAAATCAATACAACTTGGTCTTGGGTTCCTCTCTTATGCACACAATAAAGACAGTCTTGCTGCTCAGCATTGTACAGCAGCGATTGTTTGATGAATGGCTCAGTAGAGGTGTAAAAACACCAGTCCTCAAGGCTGTGATAGACTTGGAATTTCTTGCAGAAATCCGACCTCCGTAGGCTCCATCTACCATGCTCGGGAGGTTACTGTATAATTGGAAATCAAGTGGAAAGTCTGTTTCACAGTTCGGGCACTGCTCTGGGACTTGGTGCTAAGCTCAGGTTGTTGCTTTATGAAAATTTCTTTCATGAAAATGCATTGCAGGACGTCAATTCTGATGCAAAAAATAGGTTCTCCACAGCTGCAGCCCTTTGTCCTATCAGTATTCCTCACATGCTGGCAAAGCAGAAAATGTCTTACACATAGACAAGGAACTATTGCTTTGGAACTTCCCAAGGGAAATTGCTTTGCCATGCAGGAACCTGCTGCTACCTCGCTCATTCCTTTTGGAAAGGCCTGAGAGCCCAGTCCCACAGTTTATATCTTTTTGTCCTGGAATATGCCAAAACCACTCAGATTAAAACAAAACATGTCGGTATATTTGCAGAGTGGAATCATGGAATCATAGAATGTGTTGGGCTGGAAGGGACCTCTAAAGGTCATCTGGTCCAACCCCCCTGCACTGAGCAGGGGCATCTTGAACTAGAGCAGGTTCCTCAGAGTCTCATCAAGCCTGACCTTGAATGTTTCCAGAGATGAAGCCTCCACCACTTCTAACTTCTTCCTCATATTGAATCTAAATCTAAATGGTTTAAAACCATTGCCCCTTGTCCCATCTCTTGTCCCATTTAGGAACTGGAAGACCACTATGAGGTCTCCTGGAGCCTTCTCTTCTCCAGGCTGAGCAAACACAACTCTCTCAACCTCTCCTCGTAGGAGAGGGGCTCCAGCCCTCTGATCATTTTTGTGAACTCCTCTGGACCCGCTTCAACAAGTCCACATCCTTCTTGGGCTGACGGGCTCCAGAGCTGGCCGCAGTACTCTGGGTGAGGTCTCATCAGAGCAGAGGGGCAGAATCACCTCTCTCGATTTGCTGGCAAAAAAGTACCTACTTGATTTTGTACTAACCCAAATCCTGACTAGCCCGGGACAGTGGTTGAGTTTTAAAACCCTAGTGTTGATGAGAAGTGTCTGCAGCACCTGAGAGTTTAGTTTGCACCAACTCACCATCACCACCGAGGGCTTACAGCCTGACACCAAGCCGTAAGCACTACGTGCATTGCTGTGCTGCTCCACCATCAGAGAACGCGCAGGAAAAGTGTTTTCCATCTTAGTTTGCCATCCCATAAGGGATCCCTGCTTTGGCAGTGAGCCAGAAATTACTCACTTGTAATCTGTTCCCTTGATTATTTCTTTCTGTAAAGGGCCTAATACAAACCCTGCGTGCCTGCTGGGAAAATCATTCTTTTCCTAGACTCGTCATTTGGTTTTCCAGCCTTGATAGGACAAGAGACAACTGATGTCCGTTAACCAGGCCTAGTGCAGAGCTTTAAAGGGTCTCCTCTAAGCATTGGAAGCCTGAGGTGATTCAAGTTGGTGGGATTTTTTTAACTGAACTCAAGGGAACAAGATGCAGATTTTAAAGATCACTAGTGTTAAAAAAAAAAAGGGAATCTGTAAGGCAAGCACAGGTAGGTGACATGTATTATCAAACAGCAGAGAAACCATAGACAGAAAGAAATTAATGAAATGAATACAAAGTTTAGAGGTCACCAACACTTTGTTCCCTATTTTTTCAGCTGGCAACCAAGAAGGCTTGTGTGGGAAAACAATGGAAAATCTTCAAGGATTGTAAACACACACAAGCGACTTGCAGATGGGGTGTCAAAAACTACGTATATTATACTAATTGTCATTTAGCCTTGTGTGTTGGATGACTGGAGCATCCGTGTTTTGATAAAACGGGCCTGTGATGGGCTTAGAGGCACCCAACGGATCATGCTTGAGAGCTGGTTAGCTCAGTGGTTTGAGCGCGGTGCTGGCAACAAGGACCAACACCGAGGTCACGGGTTCGATTCCCGCTCGGTCCCCATGTGTTGCCTGGTCTAGTCGAGAGGTGGCGTCCCTGCCCATAACAGGGAGGTTGGACTCGATGATCTCTAAGGTCCCTTCCAGCCTAGGCCATTCTATGATTCCCCTCCTGCTGCGGGGAAGATCAAAGCATGGTAGGAAATTACGTCTGCACAAATCCCTGACAAACAGGCAAACCCAGCAGGTTTGGTGATCCTCTAGCATGGACTGAACTCCATGGCGCCCGGATCCCTGCTTTCATGCCTCTGCCCAGGTGCTGCTTTGAGATCCCCTGGTTGGCGAGGTAATGAAAATAAATTTGCTCTTTGCATTTAATTTGTGGTTTTGTGGTTGTTCCCGCGTCCTGCCTGTGCCAGCTCACACACTTGTGAAAAGACATAAAGGAATATTTTAATTGTTGTCACTTTCTGTATATTCTAGTTTAAACCTTACTGATCTTCCTTGGAGAGAATAAGATACTTGTAAATAGTTGAGGATAAACCTCCCAAGGAATTTTCAAGGCAATGGTTTGGTTTGGGATCATGGAATCACAGAATGTGAATGTTAGAGGTTGGAAGGGACCTCTGAAGATCATCTAGTTCAGCCCCCCTGCCAGAGCAGGATCACCCAGAGTAGGTCACACAGGAATGTGTCCAGGTGGGTTTTGAAAGTCTCTGGAGACAGACTCCACGACCTCACTGGGCAGCCTGTGCCAGTGCTCTGTCAACCTCACAGTAAAGAACTGTAATACTTTAAAATGTAATATTTTAAACCTTAGCTAGAAAGACAAAGCAAGTCACTTAACATCCTTGTCTCTGAGCAGTGTGGGACTATGGGCATCTGCCCCACTAAACTTAACTAAAGATCTCATCAGTTGCTACCTCAGAAGCGAGCATACAATGAACTGGATACCATTAACTGGATTTGCAGTTTCCAGCCAACTGCAGAAAATCTCATTCTGAATAAAGTATCAGAGAATCATCGAATGGTTTGGGTTGGAAGGGAACTTAAAGATCATGTAGTTCCAACCCCACCATGATGGTGTTCAGCATGTTAAAAGTGTGCTACAGTCTCTTTCACTGTAAGGCAGAGTCAAGCATTATCCCAGGGAGGCTGCAGTCTCACCTTATGATGGGATGCAAAGCAAAATGAAGCTGGACAGGGCCATAAGGCTGGGTACTACCCTCAAAAAGTTCCTCACACCCCATGTGCCCTGCATGGATGCCACGAAGGACTTTTGATACGGATAAATCAAATTCCTTCTGGAGGGCAGATGAAAACGGTGAGAATTTAAGGATCACTAAGAAAGTCCAACTGCTAAATAGACAGGGATAGCAAGAACAATATTGGGAAAAATACAGAACTAAGGAAGGAAGAAGGAGCACTGGAATTAATTTAATTTGAGAAATAGTGAAGTATTGGGGAAGGGGAGTGATGTACACAGAGTAGAGGTGCACAGCTGCTCCTACGTGGGTACAAAGCTTCTATGGATACAAAGCCAGCTACAGGCTTTGCATCTTAGTACGCAAACTTGGGAAACTATGGTTTATGTACTTATATGTTTCTAAAAAGAGTTGTCAGATTAATAATCTGTCTGGTTTCAATTGCATCTCCGCTGAACTTCAGTGATTTTACCTGAAGACTTCTAGGCCTACAATGTCTGCCAAAAAATTCGAAAATTCTCTGCATACAGAAGAGATCAACCAAAAAGCTGGGATATTTTATTTATCTGGAGAAAAATAACCAAACCCACCTACTGAATTCCCTTCATTCCTTGCCGTCCTAGTTCTAGAGATAAAATTTTCCTGTGGGTACATATATAAATAATCCTGAAATAGAACAAGCCGAGAATTTACAACTTTCTTAGAAAGCACAAAACACCAGGCCACAGGGCAGTGGAACCAAAGGTATGTGGCTGGTCGTCCCTTGCCGACGATTACATTCTGGAAGCAATTGGTAGCAGAAGGCTGGTTGCGTTGTGCGACATTTCAGCATTACATCGATTGCTGCCTCTTCTCCAGGCACTTCTCGATATGATCCAACACTTGGACAGCTGCTTTTGGAATACGAGTCCCCGGACCAAACACACAGGTGACGCCAGCTTCGTACAGGAAGTCGTAATCCTGTGCAGAAAGAAATTTAGGATCTATAGTTAATAGTGCCACAGAAAATCGAGAACTGATTTCTGATCATGAATGCTCTGTATGCTGGCATAGGCAACGAGTCTCAGAGAGAGGCAGCACAGCATCAAGGGAAATACGAAAAATAGGGTAGTTAGGAGGTAAAAAAAGAAATATTAAAGAACCATCCATGAGAAAGGCCAGATCCTTGGAAAATATTCAAAAGTCAACTGGATGTGACCCTGAATAGCCTAATCTAAACTTGATCTAATTCCTAATTTTGAAAATACTGCTTTAAACAAAGGCTTAGACCCGATAAATGCCAGTGGTCTCTTGTGATCTAAGTTACTCCAATTCTATGGCTGTCCTGAAATTTCAAAAAGACCTGGGAAGCAGTTATGTAGCCTCTCTTACTTCTATACAAAATGAGTTAAACCTTTTGCAACCACAGGCTAGACAGAACACAGTTTGTTTTGTGCATTCAGTTTAAAAGGCTTCCATTCCTGAACACCTGACTAATTGGCTAGAAAAGGAAGAAGTCTTGGGAAAAGGAGTAACAGGAGATTTTACACGCAAAATCTGTCTGAGTCTCTCTAGATGAAGGATGACCCTAGAGGTGATATAGCCAGGAATGTTGTCGATGAACTAAGGAAAATTTAAAGACAAATGCACAGATCTGACCGCAAGGGAACCCAACAAACTGTTCAGCAGTTTAGGAGAATTAGTCAAGCAGCGGGAATAAGAGGAACCACTGAGGCCTGATGATGGGGAACATGAGGAGAGGCTGAACAGTGAATGAAATGGGTATCCCGTAGGTGTTGGGACTCACCACTTGTCTTAGTCACTAGCTCTGCCTTGTCCAAAATATTACTGGAAGCCGTAAAGTCTCTTATGACAGGAGCTCCTATGACCTGATGGAAATGATGTTGACCCGTACCTGAGGTGGGATGACACCTCCACACATGACAAGAATGTCTGGCCGGTCAAGTGCGTTGAGTTCTTTGATGAGTTCAGGCACAAGAGTTTTATGACCTGCTGCGAGCGTGCTCACACCAACACAGTGCACGTCGGCGTCAACCGCCTGTTGGGCTACTTCTCGGGGGGTCTACATGGAAAAGAAGATTACGTGACAAGTAACAGCCCCAGCGTGGTTGCTCACAAGCTTTAGAGGGAGCATCACGGCACTTGAAATACGTTGGTCACCGCTCGGTCAGACATACCTGGAAGAGGGGACCTATGTCCACATCAAAGCCAATGTCTGCAAATCCTGTAGCAATAACTTTTGCTCCTCTGTCATGGCCGTCTTGACCCATCTTTGCAACAAGTATACGAGGCCTGCGCCCCTCACGATCCATGAACTTGTTAACTCTGATGGAAAACATCTCGTTAGTGACACTTCAATTTCTGTTGTATCAAAGGGAATGTGTAACCTCAGCCTCAGAGAATAATCTTTCACTTACTTCTCAGTATCCAGCTACTGCCAGTATCTGTATTTGAGTGGGACACTAAGACTACCACTTCTCAGTTTATTTTTAGCATTGTACTGTTCTTTTAATGTTCTTTTACTATTCTATTACAATGGAGTTCTATGGATCAGGTGCGCCTTGAAACTATATGCTGACCTGGCTGGGATGATCACTGTATAATCCAGTGGTGTAGTCTGGAGAAAAGAATGACTCTTAATAAAGCTTTTATCAGCACAGATCTGAACAGCCTCAGGAGATGATGCCAGGACAGGAACACGCATCATGCATGAGGAAAAAACAAGAACTAGGACACCTTAAAAAGGAATTATGTCACAGAATCATCAAACATTTAGGATAGGAAGGGACCTTTACAAGTCTTCTAGTGCAACCTCCCCGCAATGCGCAGGGACGTCTTTAACTAGATCAGGTTGCTCAGAGCCCTGTCCAACCTGACCTTGCACGTTTCCAGGGATGGGACTTTTACCACATCTTTGAACAACCTGGCCCAGTGTTTCACCACCCTCATGATAAAAAATTTCTTCCGTATTTCTAGTCTGAATCTACTCACTTTTAGTTTAAAACCATTACCTCTTGTCCTATTGCAACAGGCCCTGCTAAAAAGCCCATGTCCTTCTTTCTTATAAGCTCCCTTTACGTATTGGAAGGCCGCTATAAGGTGTCCCTGGAGCCTTCTTTTCTCCAGACTGAACAACCTCAACTCTCTCAGCTTGTCATCACAGGAGAAGTGTTCTAGGCCTGGGATCATTTTTGTGGCCTCCTCTGCACCCTCTCCAACAGGTCTATGTCTTTCTTGTGCTGATGACACCAGAGCTGGACACAGAACTGCAGGTGGGGTCTCGTCAGAGGGGAGTAAAGGGGCAGAATCACATCCTTCAACCCGCTGGCCATGCTTCTCCTGATGCAGCCCAGGATGAGATTCGCTTTCTTGGCTGCAAGCACACGTTGCTGGCTCATATTCAGGTTTTCAACTGCCAACACCTCTCAAATCCTGCTCTTGAGGGCTGCTCTCAGTCCCTTCATCCTCCAGCCTGTATCTGTGCTTGGGATTGCCTCGACCCATGTGCAGGACCTTGCTCTTGCCCTTATGTCAACAGCCTCTAGAAGCACATTGACAAAGCTTCTGCTTGAGTATGTAGGCTGGACTTGATGGTCTCAGAGGTCTTTTCCAGTCTCAATAATTCTGTGACTCTGTGTGATTCTGTGATGCAGAGGAGTCGGTCCTGTCTTGTCTATTCCTAAGGACTGCTGAGAGTATCAGTGTAACTAAATCAATTTGACATTTTAAAATCATTTTGTCTGTATTACTTTGTTTCCATGTTGTTTCCTTACTTCCCCACCACTTCTTCCCAACAAGAATAGCTTTAGGTGCTCCAAGCTTGCCAGGCTAAGACCTCTGCACTCAGAGTCACTGCAACTCAGAGCTTGATTTAAATGTGAAATCTCACTCTGGAAGGTCTGTGCAAAGGTGACACACAGTAAATCCGGTTTTGTTACCATGTACTGGTACATATGACCTTGGACATAAAGGGAAGCGTGTAAAAAAGGGAGCTATATCAAAGACTCAGTTTGGTTTCTCGTAAATGCACAATTACAAATATTTAAGCTTAAAATAAATACTTAAAAATCGAAGGTGATATCCCCCAGCACAACTACTTTCAAGTCAGGCTAAACATCCCCTTTCGAAAGCCATCAGGTAATTCCCTTTCAAGAGATCCTGCAACTTTTTATTGTGTAAGCCCCAACACAGCAGGGACTTACAGGCATCACTTCATACTACACCACCACCCACTACTGCAGTTCAGTCTGTTTACCCAAGAGGACAGCAGCAAAGGCTGAAGCTGACAAAAAAGCATAAATAGGAAACTGTTCTGACACACGCTACCATCTTCTGAGGTCTCCTCCCTCGTGATACGACTAAGTAACACCCACAGACTGGAAGCTGTACGTGCATATCCAGACAGTTTTTAGCCTTACAATTTTAAGAACAGTAAGAGCGAAACTGCAGGGACAACTTCTGGACAGATCAAAATCAAGTTTTGTAAATAGGAATTGCTGGAAATATTTTAGAGATTAGTATTGCACAGTCTTCAAAAGAAGCAATCCCATCGTGGGGATTTCAGGCAACGCTTCTCAGCTTCTTAATCCTATGGCTGCCTCGTCTATCTGAACAAAATCTTCAAATCATAACATCTGGATTTTGCAGGACACTGTTTTGTTCTGGGGAGGTTATTCAGGTCTGGGGAATATTTTTTTAGGGCAAAGTGAGTAGCACATATTCATGGATTAAATGCGAGGCTGTGTCTGGCTTCCTGGGAAGCTATTCTCACCTGTTGATGGCATGAAGAATTTCATCACTCTCTCCAAACTCCTGGCGATAAGCTCCGCTCACCATTCGGTCACTGGCTTTGTGCTCCCCAAATACCTTCTTCATCGCATCAGTTATTTCTCCCACGGTGCACCTACGATACAGAAACAAGGTATCAAAGCTATCAGGATGCTTATATGACAATGGAATACAGAAGTCATTGAACATCTGACTCGCCTCACTGTCATCCAGTAACAGAACATGCAAGAGTAACTGCAGTAAATTTCAGAGAGATATTTTTCACCCTGTGACCCTCCAGCTAATTTGCCCTTTTGCTACCTCATTTCTATAGTCAGCAAACTTAACTATAGTTACAAACTGTAACTATGCTAACCTAAAATGGCAGAAATCCTATCCTGAGCATACAGGCAAGATCTGTGTAATGCAAATGCCTGGAGCTGGCCTCTTTATCTCTTCACAGCTGGTCTGCTTTGCCTAGAAGACACCAGCGCTCTGGAACACACATTTTTAACTCCTGTTATTGACACAGTCTTGGCCACTTCTTATCATCTCACCTCTGCCAGATTTCTGGAATTGTGTCTTTTAAAGTCCTCTGCTTTTGTCCATTTTCTTCCTCAGTGCACTAAGAAGTTCCTGTCTGGATTTATGAGCATCATAGTCTAGAAAAGCAGCTAACGCAAACACCAAATTCATAGCATCCATACGGCTGCCTGTGAATGTGACTTGTCTGATACTCTCTTTCAATTTATTTCTTAACAATGATTTTAAAAGCATTAGTTATAAAGCAACCTGTCCACAACTGCACTGGAACCCACTGACATTGCTACGCAATACACTTGATTTTTACAGCACCCGTAGGATCTCAGAAAGCTTAGCAAGCCCTGAGTGACACTAGTTGTTAGACCTTGCTCACTGATATAATCAGGTTTTGTTTTTCAGGACATCTAAATAATCTTATTTATTTTGCTCTGACATTGCTAACAAAAAAACTGAAAAGTAAACTGCCTAAGTGCTCGATTAAGTGATTTCTGAGGTTAAAAAGCAAGTTTGCAGCTGACTTAAAAACAGTATCTAGAAATACCCGACTCCCCCTCAGAGAGCGAGACATCACAGATTTCAGCCTGATATAGACACATCTCATGCATAAACACTAATGATTTACTCCTGCGTAAACACTGGCCGTTTGGTGAAGGCATAACACGTGGTTTTTCTTCTGTAGAAAACTGCAAGCTCAAAGAAATTTTTCTCCTCCTTCTCTTTTGCAGAAGGCAGCATCTGAGCATAATGTTGGTATCAGAGCACAGCACACACAGACACAGCTGTGGTGTGCTCATCTGTTCTTACTGTGTGAAAGTGTGAATCAAAGTTTAATGTAACAAGTGAAAAAATGGTTTGGATTATCAGTTTGATTTAAGTATAATCTGGTAGTTGGGACAAAGTTTGTCTACTGCACAAAAAACGAGTAACATTTCTTTCTTCTGTAAACATTGCTTCTGAAATCCTTGTATTTTGAAAATTCTGCCACAAATGTCTGCAACCCTGTAAATCTAGAGTTCCTAAGTAATAATACGATTTTAGCTTTTAAACTACTCATTAATACTTTCCTACTATTTACTAACAGGTATTAAAAAAAAATACATCTGCTGAGTTCTTAATCCTGATGCATTGAGTGCCATCCACACATCCACAGTGGCATAGCTCTATCTGGAGTCAGGAATACAGCTTCTCTTCTTAAAGGAGAGGAAAAGCATACTTTTAATAAAAACTACACTGTGCTTTAATCAGCTAGCCATAACATTGGACAAGTTCTTTAAAATTTGGATGTATAAAACTCTCCCAATTCTATTTACAGCAAAATGTTGTTCTGAAGACAAAAGTTCTCATCTCACTATTATAAAACTTTAGTAGCACAAGCAACAATTCTTATAAAATTCTTAATTTACATTTTTTTCAAAGTGTACCTGTAAAAATCTACTACACATTTATGCAAAACTGACAGAACAGAAGTCACTTTGCCTTTACTGCACAAATTTGAGTTTCCTTCATATGACTGTCACTCACATTTGCCTTGTGTGAAACCGTATGTTACAGTAGCACCCTTTAATTTGATGAATAACAGGTATTTTACAACAATCCGTGGTTTCAAGCAAGCTTAAAATTTTCAAGTGAAGACCAAAAGATAAGTATATCCTCTGATTTGTCTTTTTCAGCCTATAGTCTTTGCAATCTGTCTTGTGGCAAGGACAGCATGTGTGTACATAAATTGGCTCAGAATTACTGAGCTATACTTACTGTGCTATATCAGAGCCCTCGACTGCTCTGAAATACCCTGAGCTTCCTCAAAAGCATCGGATTTCCAAATAGAGCAGCCTGGCTTTTTGCTAATTTTTTGGGCAATTCAACCCCCCACAGCAAGGGGGCTGGAACTAGATCACCTTTATGGTCAACTCAAACCATTCTATGATTCTACCAAGGTCAGTGGGATGAAATACAACAACAGATGCGATGGCCAGAGAGGATATCAATCAATTCAGTGTGTCCTACCTGGCACAGGGTCTATCTCCTTTAGCAATCTGAGCTGTGACTCTCTGCCAGTGGTTTACAACCAGCTGCAAAGGCTGTGCTGCACAAATAAGGATTTGAAGAAAGTCAATGACCATACTGTGCCTGTTAGGACTGTCACCTTCTGTTTGTTTGGTCTCACGCTGCTGCCACTGCCTCTCTGCATTTCACCAGCAGCGAGAGGTAGCACTGTGTCATCAGGTGAAAAAGTAGCACGAGGACACAGACTGGGCCAACAAAGAAGCAGCACTACATGCTACGTTGCACATCCTGCCTTCTTTTTGTATCACCTAGAGCCGGCACAGCAGTTCTGGAGAAGGACAGAAAAATGGCACCGTGGATGAAGCAGCGAAGAATTTTGCACCATCTGTCTCACAGCCCTATCGAACTCTGCCTGTTTTCCTGTAACAGGGCTTCTCAAGAGAAATGAGGCACAGAAAGGAGGCAGTACTGCTCCCGCTCCCTGTCACCTTTGGCCTGCCTTATTACCTTGGTTACAATCATAAAACAATTTCTCTACCTGTGTTTGTCAGCACTTAAATCTTCATATTAGTCCATGGAGTCTTTTCCATAGTTCAACACTAAAAGGTCTGTGCTACTCCTTTTATTTCAACTGAATTACTGAGAGAGTTAGGCTTGTTCAGCCTGGAAAAGAGAAGGTTCTGGGGAGACCTTATAGCAGCCCCTCACCAACTGA